ACTTAGGTGGAAGCCACCTTTCTGAACGATTGTAAAGAGCGTCATGTAACAGTCACAGTAAGTCTACCACCCGTACGTTTCTTTTAAGTACCAGTGGTATTCCAGTTATAATTAAATTTCAACCTGCAACCTGCAAAATATACCTGCTGCTTTAAAGATGATTTCCAGACCGTACTGCACACTCTCAAGAGTTGGCTAGCGTTTTTTGTTGTGTTTCATGAAAGGCATCACAAAATGCAAACATTTTGCAACTACTTACATGAAGAAAATTCAAACTTTCAAAACATTTGCCATTATGGATACGAAGCGGTCAAAACTTTATGCTTCATTCTTTCTCATATCACTTAATGAAACAACCTTGCAGCTGTAAAATTCAATGAAGTTGTTGGAGAAGAATTTGAAAGGCCTCAAAGACAAGGTATGTGGTTTGTAAGAAATAACATCGATTCACATTCCATTGAGTGAGACTTATGCTTATAAACATTAGGGTGCTGCAACTGCGCAGTACGGACTGGAAATCATCTTTAACATGAGAAGAATATAGATGTTTGGCAATCTGGGCATGCGACAGAGAATTATTAGTAAAGCTAAGGAGCTTTCAAAGAAACTGTGAACTGTATGGAAGAGTGGAAAGTACAGCTGAAGTACAAGGATTAAGATCTAGCAAGCCTAGTACTCTCTATACCCTACTACCCTCCAGGTGGTCCAAACAGTTTTGAAGTAATAGGCTTGGGTAGGGAGACGCACTGCGAGAGTGAAGTGTCTTGACTAAATAACACAAAGATCCCTACCAGGGCTCACAGCCAGGCCATCTGAACATCAAGTAGAGTCCAGTGCACTAGCTATACAGGTAAGGGTGCTGCATCTTCCACAGAAGTATAGCATGGAGAAGTAGAACATGGCAGATTCTTAGCACCAAGTATACTTTGCACACCATGGGGCACAAAATTTTGCAGGATTTTAATTTTGTGGATCGGTGAATTTTTGTATTTTGCGGGAACTAATTTTTGCAATTGCAAAACACTGGTTTATCTTCTGTATTAATTTTTTTGATTTTCAGGAAGTTGCATTTTATTGGAATTACAATGTTTTGTTTATTTTTTATTTAAACTACATGCAACAGACAAGTAAAACAACATGAAGAGACGTAAAACACAGTATTAAGTGTCAATCTAAATTACAATTACACTGATGCATATCCCTTCAGTTTTATTTCTGAATGAAAGAGAAGTGTTAAATAAATGGCACCAAGATTCTTCATGACTTTGTGATGTTTATAGGTAAAATTGCACCAGTGGAGTAAATTTTTGTGAAGAAAATTTTGTCGAGAACTTATTTTTGCAGATTGTGGAAACCAAACAAAAAAAATTAGAACCCACAAAAATTCTGTGCCACATGGTATGCCTTTTATCTAGAGGCTACCCTTGTCTGCTTCCTTACACTCATGGTTGATTCAAACATTCATGAAAGTACAAACAAATACCTCTATATAAAAAGCTAGGAAATTCTCTGTAGAACATACAAAACTCACATTGTCCCATGTTGTCCTTCTCTTCCTCTAGCGAGTCCGACATTTGAGTACAACTGTTACCACTTCTTGCATCACAGGTGTCTTTCACGGTTCTTATTGGGGAAATCTAGAGTCCAAACACGGGCTAAGGTTGAATACGCGGGCACTTTATTTACCTCTGCCGGTGTGCTTTGAAGAACAAGGTATATAACAATAGTTGCTATTCTTATTCAATGAGATGCTAATAAGTGGCCGGGTATTCTGGAGTTAATCAGCTCACGGCAAATGATCCAGACATTCTGGATGCACAACTCACCACGTGGAGTGAACTTGAGTCTTTTTCGACAGCTGAGTTGTATAGAGTTCATGGCGCCCTTATTACATATAGATACAATTATTATCACCAAAAACAACATTACAATACAGGTTCCTTTCTGTCCTTCAATCTCCTTGGCGCTGTAACTCAGAATGAGACGAACAGCTCTCGCTTAAGCTCGCTCGCTTAACCCACTAAATTCCAAAATCAGAAATATTATTTAGCTGCTAACAGACTGCAATCAGAAGGAACCGCCATTAAGGGGAGCTAGAGTCTACAACCAGGTTCCTATGTAAGAATTACCTGAATTGTAATGATCAAAAGCAGGAGTTCCCTTCTCATACGAAGAATGAAAGGTTGGCTTCAGCTGTTTAGAGTATGCATCTGTAAACCACTTTCAGTTTCTGTTTTCCTTCGACTTCCTTCCAACTTCTTCCTTGGTAACCAAGCCTCTGGCGGGGTATGGCAGGAAGTACTTTTTCCTTCCCAGGCCTTTTTCATTCAAGTCCTGTCCGTCTTCTTCTTTTTGATGATCATGAGGGGCTACCTAAAGACTACTTTTCAGACTTGGCATACCTGTGTCAAACACGCTCTCAGCAGTCAGATGTCAAGGTCCTGGATAGGGGGAATAGTGTACCTGGATAGGGGGAATAGCTATAGGTTTTTTTTTTTTT